GGTGTATGTGGCTGGCGCCCCAGCCACCTGAGCCACAAGTGCCGAGCCAGTCAGAGTATCTTTAAGTCATTTTCTTCACTTCAAGTTTCGAGATGAAAACAAAGCCCCAAGTTACCTTGGGTCCCCCTCTCTCCCTTACCTCCCCAACCCAGCCAGCTGCCAAGTGCTCTCTGGCCTCCCCTCGAAACAATGTCCCTTAAGCTGTGTCCCCCCACCCCTGCCGCCAAGTCTCTAGTTAGCCTCCCAGCTGGCCTTCTGGCTTCCTGTCTGTCCTCCTTCACTCTGTTGTCCCCCATTATTGGTAGGTTCAGTTTCGTCCAGCACCTGGGCCACAGCTGTGACTTAGAAATGAGCACCAACTCTGAAGTTCTGATTTTTCCACTATCTTATTTAGAACTCTGCAAGCATTTCTCAAGCCCCCATATGAAGTCTGGATGCTTTAGCCGGCCATTCCAGACCCTATGTAATCGCACCATCGCAGCAACCATTGTGTCCTTGTTACCACCCACTCTTATTGTCCTTGTCGCCCACCTGAAGTCATGCCGAGGGCTGCTTCTGGTGCTCTCTGCTCCTTGTCCTTTGCTTATTTTGTTCTCTCTACTGGCAGCGCCCTGTCCCCCAAATTAGGGTGACCAGATTCTAACATCTGTAAGGCGGGACAACATGGGGTGGGGGGGCGGGCGCCTGTAGTCCCAGCTACTAGGGAGGCTGTGGCAAGAGAATTGCTTGAGTCCAAGAGTTGGAGGTTGCTGTGAGCTGTGACGTCACATCACCCTACCCAGGGTGGCAGAGTGAGACTGTCTGAAAAAAACAAACGAAATAAAAACTTAGGAATTATTTATTAGGGCTCCAAATGTAGTTCATTCTTTTCCCCACCCTCTAAGTTCTGGGTTTCAGTTTGGGAGAGAGAGCCACGGATGTTGGGCCACACGAAGCACTTGAGATTCTGAGCCAGTGGCTTTTATCTGATCTCCTGCACCCGGACAGGAACCAATTTAGGTTAGTCTCTTGTCCTCTCTGAACCTTCCCCAGAAATAAACTGGAGGTAATAATAATATCTGCCTCTTTTCTTTTTTTTGGTAGATACAGAGTCTCACTTTATCACCCTCGGTAGTGCCGTGACATCACAGCTCACAGAAATCTACAACTTCTGGGCTTAGGCGATTCTCTTGCCTCAGCCTCCCAAGTAGCTAGGACTACAGGTGCCCGCCACAACACCCAGCTATTTTTTACAGATGAGGTGTAACACTTGCTCGGGCTGGTCTTGAATCCGTGAGCTCAGAGTCCACCTGCCTCAGCCTCCCAGAGTGCTAGGATTACAGGCGTGAGCCACCACACACGGCCTCTGGCTTCTTTTCTTCAAACACTCCAAGCAGGCTCTACCTCAGGGCCTTTGCATTAGCTCCTCCCCTTGACTTGCTCATTCCTCCCCCAGTTACCCAGGAGACTTGGTCCCTGGCTTTCCTCAGCTCTCTATTCAGCCACACACCTCCACACCTATAGTCTTCTCCCCTCCTTCCCAGCCCTGTTGGATTTTTCTCCATAGCACAGATCATCTGAAACATATTGTAAGTGTACTTATTGTCTCCTAACTTTGGACCATTAAGTTCCAATTAAGCAGGGATTTACTCGGCTTTGTTCACTCCTACAGCCACAGCTTATCCAGAACTTTCTGGCACTTAGTAGGCCTTCAATACATATCTGATGAATAAAAGAATGGGCATATCAGTTTCCCCAACTTGAAGTTGGTTGTTAGTCTTGAAGACCAAATTGAAGTTTCTGTGACTATAGATGAGAGATTCCAAATCAATGAACATAAAACCTGAAAGTATCTTGGCTGGGTGCAATGGCTGACACCTTTAATCCTAGTACTCAGAGAGGCTGAGGCGGGTAGATTGCTTGAGCTTAGGAGTTCAAGACTAGCCTGAGCAAGAGCAAGACCACATCTCTACTAAAAATAGAAAAATAGCTGGGCATGATGGCAGCTACCAGTAGTCCCAGCTACTCGGGATGGATTGCTTGAACCCAGGAGTTTGAGGTGGCTGTGAGCTATGATGCCACCACACTTTACACAGGGTGACAAAGTGAGACTCTATGTCTAAATAAATAAATGGTCACATATGGAAGGAAGATCTACTGCTGGTATTAAATTACCTCTTAAAAACTCCCAAATCAATGGCTAGGGGAGGTGGCTCACACTTGTAATCCTAGAACTCTGGGAATCCAAGGTGGGTAGACTGCCTGAGCTCAGGAGTTGAAGACCAGCTTGAAAAAAGAGTGAGAACTTGTCTCTGCTAAAAGTAGAAAAAACCAGTCAGGCATTGTAGCAGGTGCCTGTAGTCCCAGCTACTCCAGAGGCGGAGCCCCAGAGTTTGAGGATCTGTGAGATATGCTGACAAGGCACCCTACCCAGGGCAATACTGAGTCAAAAAAACAAAAACAAAAAACTCATAAATCCTCACTCTTCTTGGCACAGCTCATTCCAAATGGTGTCCCCTGTGAACACTGGGAGGATAGAACCTCTACTAGAGGAAGTGGCAGGGTGAAGTGTTGAAAAGTTGACTTCTGCTGTGGCCACAGCTGGCAGAGTGGACCTGCAGGAGTCTAGCTTTGAAGGAGCCAAGCTGGCCTAGCAAGGAAGCCAGCCACGCGAGACTGACCTGGGAAGTAACTGCAGCTGCATGGTAGAAGACCAGCATTTCCAACACCGGCCAACTGTAGAGACTTTGGGTTGTGATTTCTCTTTCTGAATGCCACCAAACCCTGGGGGGGGATCCAAAGGATCATATTCTTTGGAGTGGAGGGTCTCAGGATTTAATTTGCTATGAACCTATTCCCAAGATCCACTAACAAGCATAGACAGTGAGACTCAAAAGATTGAAAATCCAAATTACAGAGCCAAGCATGGCAGCTACCTGGGAGGATTAGTTGAGCCTGGGAGTTCTGGAACAGCCTGGGCAACATAGCAAGACCCCATCTCTAAAAAAAAAAAAAAATTTGAGTTCTAGTTTTGGGTGACGCAGACAAGTCACCCAACAATTATTTGCCAAGCACTCATCACATACCAAACACTGGGCAGGACCCTAAAGTGTAAGTCCCCACATAGGCACCTTGTTCAGCCTGCTGTTCCCTGCCCATTCTTCCAGCTTGGCCCTCCCACACCACGGCTGGCCCCCTCGTTCACTGTATTTCCTTTTTTTTTTCTGAGACAGAGTCTCATGACATCACCCCTGGTAGAGTGCCATGGCATCATAGCTCACAGCAACCTCAAACTCTTGGCCTCAAGCAATCCTCTTGCCTTAGCCTCCTGAGTACCTGGGACTATAGGTGCTCACCTATGTTTTTTTTTTTTAAGAGACGGGGTCTCATTCTTGCTCAGGGTGGTCTTGAACTCCTGAGCTCAGGCAATCCACTCTCCTCAGCTTTCAAAGGTGCTGAGATTACAGGTGTGAGCCACCATGCCTACCCTCATTCATTGTATTTCCTGTTCCATCTACCATGGTGCCTGGATGTGTGCTGAATGAATGAATTTAAATTCTTTAGTTCATTTTATTCTTAAGAGAGTACCTTTTTTTTTCTTAATTGAGACAGTCTCACTTTGTGGCACCCTGCAGAGTGCCGTAGTGTCATAGCTCACAGCAACCTCAAACTCTTGGCCTCAAGCGATTCTCTTGCCTCAGCCTCCCTAATAGCTGGGACTCCAGGCACCCACCACAACACCCGGCTATTTTTTTTTGTTGTTGTTAGGCCAGGGCTGGGTTCGAACCCACCAGCCCTAGTACATGCAGCTGGCACCCTAACTGGTGAGCTATGGGCACACAGCCTTAAGAGAGTACCTTATAGGTGTTTAAATTCAGTGATGTAAACATTACATGGACTAAGATAGAAAGAAAGTAGGACACAAAAAATTCCAGGTTTTTTTATTTTCCCCTTTTACACAAACCAAAGTAGAAGAAATAATACAGGATTAAAACTGCCAAAGTAGAAGAATTAGTAGAACACGTATACACAAAAAAATATGCATAGGAAGATGGGCTTATTTACAATGAGGAAACAAATGTAAAGTTAAGGTAGTTTTCACATGAAACATTAAAAAAAAAAATCAAACATATGCTACAATGGGTACTACCACTTACAGCAGTATTGGAAGGGGAGGTAATAACATGTAAAGGGACAGGTATTCCACAAGGTACAGATTTTACAGCATCAGTGCAATACATTCACAAAACTATATCACAGCTAATCAGTTTAAGACTTGTTCCCCAAAATGTCACATTTTTTGGCCCTCAGAGGTTCATTCCTACAGATTTCAACTACTCTAAATTTCTAGCTACTGAGAAGGAAAGAGTGATTATAAGCTTCCCAAGGAGTTACAAAATCTAAGTAGACCAGAGGCCAACTATCATTACCTCAAGTCTGCTCTTACCAACAGCCCTTGCAGTTTTCAGAGAAATATCTAGGACAAAAGTCAGACACCAGTGTAGTCACTATCTCCTACGCCAAACCTATGGGGACTGAAACGGCCAGGTAATTACAATAAAATGAGAATTTTGAAGATTACCTTTAAAGGCATATTCTAGTCTCAAAAATTAATCAGATAAAATTATGTCCTTCTGAAATGAATCTTAACTAAACATAGAAGATTCCTGGCCTTCCCTGGAGGATGGTCTTGGAGTAAAGGTCATAGATATGAGTCTTAACCAACTGTGTATTATGCTAAATTTAAAGTATGCTAAAAATGCTAAATAGAATCTTTTGAAAGTCTGCTATTAGAAAGCCTTCACAGATTTACTAACTTAAAGTCTTAGTGCAGGAGGACAAGAGCTCTAAGCATTTGGGAGAAAAGACCAATGTTTCCTACAAATTGTTAGGTTTTGCACAAAGCAGAGACGTACCCACGCTAGGTCATGGAATTATTAATAGGGGATAAGAATCATGGGGATTCTTCTCTCACAGCAAAGAAACAGAATGAGGAATGAATCGTAATTGGTCTCTTCATCAGAAGTGGTAAACCTGGTCTCTATAGTCCTGAAGTCAGTTTTTCAAGCAGACTGTGAAAGCAGACAGTAGAACCAGCTTCCTGTAGCCACAGACCACTACCCTGTATCTAACTTAAGCAAAGATCAGCTCCACCGATTACCCAAGGTCACTTTAACCACACTAAAGGAAAGTCCACCACCATATTATCCTAAATGAAGTTGTCTAAAAAATTAAGAATTCAATTAACATTGGGTGAGAAAAATCAAAATAACTCATACTTGCTAATGAGTTGTCCACGTAAGCCCAACGGATGAGAATGTACCCAACTATACTGGACAAGAAGACGCTAGCACAAAGCCATACACCGTGAGTCTGAATTTCTATTATCTACGGGCAGAATGAGGGAGAGGCAAAGAGCTACTTCTGTAACATTTTAGTTTTCAGACAGTATAATAGAAACTGTTCCCAAGGACAATGTACATCCCATTATCACACGGAACAAAGCAGATGGATTATTCATTTTTCTTTTCTTTTTGTTTGAGAAGTTTGTTTATCTCCCTTTTGGCCATTCCAATGTACTTCGAGATGATTCCATGTTGGTTAAGTCCAGGAAGCAACAGTAAGAAAGTCACTTAAAATAAACAAACAAAATTAAGGAGGTGATAATTAACTTCTTAAAGGCTAACTCTAAAAGACATTTTAGAGAAGAGAGATTCTCAGACTATCAGATATTTTTTTGTTTTTTTTTAAGAGATAGAGGCTCATTTTGCCGCCCTCAGTAGAGTGCTGTGGCTCACAGCTCACAGCAACCTCCAACTTCTGGGCTTAGGCAATCTCTTGCCTCAGCCTCCTGAGTAGCTGGGACTACAGGTGCTCGCCACAACACTCAGCTATTTCTTTGTTGCAGTTTGGCTGGGGCTGGGTTTGAACCCACTACCCTCAGTATATGGGGCCAGTGCCCTACTCATTGAGCCATAGGCGCCTCCCGACTATCAGATATTCTAGTAGGAGGAAGCAATATGAAATCCACTACTGCTGCTGGTATTTATCCCGGAAACTTCCCCTCTCACACCTTCTTCAACCGCAGATAACAATCACTGCTGGTTTTTAACTCTTGCACATTTATTTTCTACCTTGGTTATTATGTCTTCACATCCCATAAGATCACAAAGTCCCTGAAAACAAGGACCTGTGTCTCAGTCATCTTTCTATATTCCCACGGTTCCTCGATCAGTGCCTGAAGTTTGGCAAATACTCTCATATTTGTTTATTGATTAAGTTACAGTTAGACTTCACTGGCCAGGATATGCCCGTAGTTTTTGCCCAAAGACTTACCTATCAGGTAGGTGAGAAGCAGGTTATGTACTTGTTGTCCCACCCAAGCAACCGCAGCAAGAGAAATGATCATGGTCATGAAGTACTAACAATGAAAACAACAAGAACTGATCAACTGCTAGAAACAGACTAAGTGGCATGACTTTTAGAGTTTGTTTCACCATTTCACAATGTACACATATAAAACCATCATGTTGGACGTTATAAATATGTATTAAATATATATAATTTTTGTCAAACAAAAATGTGTTTGTTTCAAAGGTTGGAAATTAGTTTAGCTTTTATTATCACTTTTATTTAAAGATACTTAGATTTAAAAACCTATATAGTCTATAAAAGAAAATTTCATTAGATCTACTTTATAGAATTTGAATGCTTTTCTTCCTCAAGTATCTACAATGCTATATAGGAAATACTTTATTATATAAACTACCCTTTCAGTTAATAATTCCACATGGTGGCTCGGTGCCTGTGGCTCAAGTGGCTAAGGCGCCAGCCACATACACCTGAGGTGGCAGGTTCGAATCCAGCCCAGGCCCGCCAAAACAACAATGACGGCTGCAACCAAAAAATAGCCGGGTGTTGTGACGGGTGCCTGTGGTCCCAGCTATTCAGGAGGCTGAGGCAGGAGACTCGCTGGAGCCCAGGAGTTGGAGGTTGCTGTGAGCTGTGATGCCACAGCTCACCCAGTGGGACAACTTGAAGCTCTGTGTCAAAAAAAAATAATTCCACACGGTAACCTCTTGTGAAACTGAAAGAGGAAAAAAGACGCTAACTATTTTGTTTGTTTGGAGACAGGGTTTCACTCTGTCCCTTGGGCTATCTATACGGCTGTGGTACAATCATACCATAGCTTACTATAACCCTGAACTCCAGGGCTTACTAGATACTCCTGCCTCAGCCTCCCAAGCAGCTGGAACTACAGGTGCACACCATGTCCAGTTAATTTTTGTTTATTTTGTAGAGGCAGGGTCTTGCTATGTGCCCAGATGGTCTTGAACTTCTAGTCTCAAACAATTCTCCTGCTTCAGCCTTGCAGAGTGCTAGGATTACAGGCATGTGCCACCATGCCCAGCTAAGTATATGGCTTTTACATCTATTTCAATAAAAAAAAAAGAAGCAGAAAAATGTTCCTTTACTGGAAAAAACATGACAACTTTTAACTTCTAACAATTCAAACTAATACAGATAAATATTTATGAACATACTTAAGAGTTAAACCAATGGATACTACTGAATATCACACTATAACTATTAAAACAAAAAGGCTATCATTAGATTACAATGAAGTTAGATTGACTCAATCTCAAAATTTTGCTTTTCTCAAACAAGTCAAAGCAAAAAAGTACCATTTTAGGCTTTTCTTCCTTTAGTGTGAAGAGGCGTTTCCACCAGCCCACAGCTCTGCGTCGAGATTTTACTAGATTGCTGCAAATTTCATGGAATCTTTGCTGCTGTTCAGTAGTCCTAGAAAAAGGAATTTTCCTTTTGCTATAAGCAAGTCTCTGTTATAGACAGAAATATACTATCCTGTCATACATGTTTAAAGAACTGTCTTCTTTTTCTTGAAACCGAGTCTCACTCTGTCACCCTGGACAGAGTGCTGTGGTGTCACTATAGCTCACAGCAACCTCAAACTCTTGGGTCTAAGGGTTTGGATCCCAAACAGCTATCTTCTAAAGAAAGTGACAATAAAAAACAATGGTTCCCCATTATCTTATGCAGGTGAAAAACTGTACCATTAAGACACCTTTTTTTTTTGAGACCGACTCACACTCTGTCACCCTGGGTAGAGTGTCAGGGCATCAATATACCTCACAACAACCTTAAACTCCCAAGTTCAAGCAATCCTCTTGCCCAGCATCCTGAGTAGCTGGGATGAGAGTCACCCACCACCAAGCCTGCCTAGTTTTTTTAAGTTTAATAGAGATGGGATCTCACTCTTGCTCAGGCTGGTCTCAGACTCCTGAGCTCAAATGATCCACCTGCCATGGTCTCCCAGCTGGGATTACAGATGTAAACCATCACACCCAGCCCCATTAAGATACCCTTTGTAGGGCGGTGCCTGTGGCTCAGTGAGTAGAGCACCAGCCCCATATACCGAGGG